ATACTATTATACTATTATACTATTATACTATTATACTATTATACTATTATACTATTATAGTATTATACTATTATACTATTATACTTTTATACAACTATACTGAATCGCATATAAAATAATTTAAAATCAAATTTAACCTCTTAATAAGCCATAAGTCCAAAGGCATGTAAACTGAAAGTAAAGTGAAAGTATTTACATGCATATGAGTGCATGCACACATACAAAACATACACATATATTATATACATGGATTAGTTTTCCTCTGAGTGTGGCACATAAGGATTTTCTTAGCTCGTTTTGATTGCTTTTGAATTGCTTTGAATGACCAAGTTTTTCATGCTGCATATGGCATGACGTCGCACTGCAATTATCCAGATGAGTTGGCCAAAGAGAGAGAGAGAGAGAGCGAGAAAGGTAGATCAAGGAGAGAGTGAGAGAGAGAGAGAGAGAGAGAGAGAGAGAGAGAGGCAGCAGACAAAAGTCTAACCATGAATATGTCTGCTTTTTTCTGTTTTTGGTTTTGAGATGCCACCAAAATGTATGTATGTGCCACAAATGCTAATGCCCGTCTCGCTGTTGCGAGTGCCTTTGGAATAGCAAATATGTGAATGAAGACATCAGAAATATGGCCACGGCTTTGCTGAGGTTGTGGCAACAGTTTTGCTCGCTAGCTCGCCCTATTCATGTCACGTTGCGGCTGGCTACGGCGTGTGTGTTGCGATGTGGCGGCAGCGTTTCAGAGCTCAAAATGAATTCAGCTGCACTTACTTAAAGTGCAACAACTGCAACATACAGTGACAAAGTAAATAACTGTTTTAGAAGGCATACAAGTGTATATCCATTTGTGTGTGCCTGTGTGCGTGTGTATGGACATATGTTATTTGATAACACTTTAAAATTTCATTACATTTTAAAATGCTCATGAAAAGCTGAACGGAAATTAGCGTGAATAATATAGAAAAATGAATACCCTGACTGCTTAGAGAGTACGTTTGACATTTAATCTGAATAGAGCTCAATTGGCTGCTCAAATTCGACTTGATATTCTCTATAGATCCCGCTTAAATAGGAACTCGATTAATAACCCACTAAAGCAGCTTAATAGCTCAATTTCAGTTCTCTGCTCTCAGCTCTTAGTTTTCATTTCCAATTCAATTCTCTTTAGTTCACATTTGGTGACATATTTGGTTGGAAAACTGTGTTACCTGCAGCAGTGCTGGTGCTGTCAACAAATACCCCAGGGTTGGGTCGAGTGGGTGTTTTATACAACAGCAATGTCCACAAATTTTACAAAATTATCTCGTGCTCGGCGAGCTGGCCCTAGCTGACCCAATTCGCATTTTGGCCAGCATTGTTAATTAATTGTTGTCTCTCTCTTACTCTACGACTCTCTCTTTCTTCGTCTCTCTCTCTCTCTCTCTCTCTCTGTCTTTCTCTTTCGTTCTATTGCTAGTTTTGTTGTGGTGCATTGTGGTTTCATTAGTGGTTAGTTAGTTGACTACCAGCTGCTCATTTTACGTTGCAACATTGTCGATTTCCATGGCATTTACTTGTTTTTTTTTTTTTTTGGCTAGCAAGTTTTATCTGTTGCAGCTTTCGTTTCGCATTTACCTTGCACTTTCAATCACTTAAATATTTAGAGCAACTTTTATTGGATTTTTCTTTTTGGGATTACTCTATATATATCTGGATTGCAGCTCTATCACCAATTAGCTGGCAGCCTAAGTTTTAAGACCTCTTGCAATTTGATAAATGTTGCAATTTTAAAGTCAAATTAAACTCATCTTTTTTCGCAGCTTTATGCAATTTATACGGCGTTCGCAGCCACACAGAAGTTATTCAAACAAACAAAGGCGAGAGCATGACTAAAAATGATTTTTTTTTTCTATTTTCGCATTTTTGTTTTGCCAAATGTGATATTGGTTTTTGGCGCGGTCAGCAAAAATCTTTGCCAAACTGTGTGCGGGTGTGTCTGTGTGTGTGTGTGTGTGTATGCGTGTGCTGTATCCATTTGATTTGGCTGCCTTTCGGCGAGTTTGCATATTTGCATATCTAGCAAAAATGTGCATCTATCCCGGCATCCATTTGACGCACTTTGCCGCTCCATGACGCACGCCGAGCGCACCCGCAATGGCACAAGGCCATTGTGGATTCGCATGCATTCGTTCAATGCATTGAGTGTCACTTGTAGCCCCACTTTGAAGTGTGTGTATAACACCAATTTTTTGGGCAAATCCACTAACGTGGCCAATGGCAACAGCTCGGCGCTGCTTTGGCCACCCTATACTGCTGTTTTCCTTGTCTGTGGACATCAAACAGCTCGTTAAAAGGTTTGCCTCAATTAACACTGGACAGTGTAGCTGCATCCACAGATTCTCGCTCAAATGAATGGAAATTTAATATTTTTAGAGCAAGTGCGCGAGAACCAAGGACAACAATTTTATCAAATATATTTCAACATTTTCTTGTTGAACACAAAGGAATATTTGAAAAGGCACAAAAGTTTTCTTCGAATTTCTTTTACGCTCTCTGAAAGGCCAAATATTGCCTGAATGCTTTGCATAATTAATTGTGCGTAGCAGAAATTTAATTTTGGTCACAAGCTAAAAATCACAGAGTCCATTGTGGCCATTGAATAATTCAGGAATTCAACATTCAGTGCTCATGCAGCAAACAAAGGGCATGAAATTCTGTTTTAAGAATTTCGTTTTTACTTATTTATTTATTTTAAAATATTTATTTTGTCCAGTGCAAAGCAGGTCTGAATGCTTTTATCTAATTCCCCAACCACTTCAAAAACTAATATATTGTGATTCTGTTTAGCTGCTCCTTAAATCCTTTAAGCTGTCATCCTTTGAGTTGCCTTTCTAGAACGAGATCTGGCTCGTCTCAATTTCAGCAACCCAGCAAATTGTTGGCCATTCTCATTAAAATTGTGGCCATCATTATATGAGCCTTCGCACTCTCAACTTATGTATCATAATGTGCAAAATATGTTTATATTCTCTACACTTGACACTTTTCATCTATTATTTATGTGTGAATTAACTCGAAACAACTTTGAAACTAATGCATATTCAAAGCCTTTAATTTTCAAATTACAAACAACTATTTGGGACTATGTGAACTTTTATGCATGCATGAGCCCTTATGGAAGAAGAGGAAGCTGAAACTATTATTATTTTTGGGTCACTCCATTTATCATCACATTATGTCAAACTGTATCATGGCGAAAGTTTTACAGCCAGCTGCTGGACGAAGTGTTAGCCAAACATGCCACACATGACAAATTTGAGTGCAGAAAGCAAAAGTTTTCAATGTAATAATGTCGAAATATATTAGATTAATAATTTAAAAAATTTAATATTTGGCACAAAATTTAAAGTAGGCAAGACTCTAAATAAAAAGGGGAGTTGGGCCTATCTACGGCAGACAGCGGCCCTTGAAATGAGCCAAAGTATACAAAACATCTTGTAAGAGGCACCTGATTAAAGGCTAAGAGCCACACGGCCGGGCCATGCCGCCCAAGGCTGCGCTGGGTCCTTGATGATAGCTGTGCAAACATGCCTATCAGTTACGGGTGTTTATATATATACGAGACATTCGCTAGAGCAAGACGCTGCTCCTCTTTAAACAAAGGCCAGCAAATGTAGCCCTGGGGCAGCATTTATGAAATGCTGCGCTGCCGGCAGACTCCTTTCATTATGCAAATCTGGGCAGCTCGACAATGAGCTAATGCGGCCGCCCATTAGGCGGGAGTAACACGTGCAGGGCCAAAAAGGGCTAACCACAAAATTACAGCACTGCTAAGCGCAATTAATGTCAAGTCTCTCGCAATGTCAGGCGGAGATGTTTCGTACCCAAGCTCAAAACTTTCCTCAAAGAGCTGTGCGCAACAAATTGTAGCTAATATATATTAGATAGAAAAAGGTGATAATGGTAATTTTATGTTTTGAAAAATTTGCATGTTACAAATATACTTGGAGTTCATATTTATATTATAAATAAATTAACTTTAATGTTTAGGCGCACCTCATTTTTTGTTCACTGACTTCTGACTAAGCGGAAAGTTGAATTTTCCGCGCATAATCAATCAAATTTGTGGAGGCTAAAACAACTTTTCACTTTTGATTAATAGCGGCGAGAAAAATTCGTTGACACTTGGAAAGCTATAAAATTCGGATGTTATGAATATTTTGTTTTTAAAATTCTCAAGTCAAGGTTAAATGCTCAAAGTTTGGCAGAAAATAAATTAATTTAATAAATACACAAATTTCGACCAAATACATATTATTTATTATTCAAGTAAGTCTACAAGAGGGGATGATTTCTAAATTGCTTCCGGCTTAGACGACTTAAAATGCCAATTTTGATTTTCGAAAATATCTATTTTTATAGCCCATTAAAAACCAAAAAGTTTTGAAACGCGCAATAAATATAAAAGTAATGATATGCCTACCTCAAACAAATCATAAAAAATTACAACAATTTGAGAAACGAAATAGAAAGTTATAAAACAGTAAAACGTAGTATACATATATCAAATGGCTACAACCTAGCTCATGCCAAATGCAAATAAAAATGTAAATTCTTATTTTTATTGAGCTCAATGAGAGAACCCAATAAAATTGAGTTGAACGTTTGAATTTGAATGGCAAATCTTCAGTCAAGTATTACCCTGAAATCAGCTTAATAATTTGCCTAATTGAAATTGAATTGAATTTATAGAAAATATAAAAATTTACGGCATAGTTGAAGTATTTTTTATTGGCATTGCCTGAAAGGGGAAGTGAAACATTTGACAGCTTCTGTATAGAGTAAAGACATCTTCAGGACATTCGGCATTCGGGTCGCCATCGTCAAACATTTTAACCTTTTTTCGAATACATTAAATGGATTTGAGTTCAGCTCACTCACACATTCACACTTGCAAATTTATGTGAATCATTTGGTGAACCTGTCGGTCAATTTGCACAAATCAAATTGAATTTTTATGTATTTGGGCTCAATCTCAGGTAACACGCAGAGCGAGCGGCGGGCCCCTTAAATATTTAGTAAGCAGCTCGCCAACAACAATCAGCGTGTCAACACAATCAGCATAATAACTGAAGGCCGCCGCCAGCTCCCAAAGCCGCAATGAAATTGGATTACGCTCAAATATGTGAGAGGTTTGTGGGGGATATGCCGACTCTCGGCAAGCGAAGCGCAAAATCAAACTTAAATAAAGATTGGCTAAAAATATTTCTGCTTAAGGTGCAACTAAATAAGAGGTATATTCGAATAGATTTTATATGCTTGCTAAAATCAAATGCCTAAAAGCTTTTATTACAAAAAATCTGATAAAATAGTAACAAAATATAGAAAGTTTTTGTACCTCAGTAAAATCACATTTTGTGAAACATTCCATGAATACGCAATCCTCTTACGCAGCATTCTCTAGTCGAACTCTCTGCTGCTCTAGCAGGAGTATATGCATTGGGAGCTGCCATTGGTGCTTATCGATTCGCTGCTGCTCAAGGGCATCGGTTGGGCCTCGGGTCTGCGCCTGGCTCGAGTTTTTATGCGCTTCCAAATCGGATGAAATATGCCGCTCCGGTTGGTCTCTCTGTCGGCGCTCTTTCTGCTCGAACTTATTTCATCGTCGTGTGCCGGATTGGGTTTACGCACAAAAACCTTGGTCAAGCGTTTGAACAGCGTACCAAATAATTTTCGCGACTTTGTTTTCTTTTTGGGCGCTTCGAGACTTAGAACAGTCGATGAGGATTGGATGGAGTCTTCTTTGGCCAAGCACAACGGCAATGGCAGCGATGGAGTTGTGGGTGTGGGCACTGGCTGCTGCAGTCCTTCCAGCACGCGCTTTAGATTCCGGCGTAGGATTTTGTATTGATCCGGATTGCAAGAGCCTTGCACTGCTGCAAAGGGATCCCTTTGACTGGGATAGCCGCTGGCGAAGCTCTGCTGGTGTCGCAGAGCACGAGCCGGCGGCTTAGGAGCTTGACGTCGCCTGCAGCGAGGCGGAGGTAGAGGGGGAAAAGATGGCAAAGGGGACTCAAGCGGGGCTAGCACGGCGGGTGGATCGAGCCGACTACTTGGAACAATGGGCTGCAGCACCACGACAATGCGCTCAGCGCTATGGGATGCACTTCTGTTCAGCTGCCAGCTATGGCAAATAATTGAGATGAAGGGATAGAAATCGTAAGGCCAAAACGTACCAAATCACAATCAACATCAAGTTGTAGATCGGCAGCGCTATAAGGATGTGAAAGGTCACTCTCATAAAAGGACACTCGGAGCCCTGCAGCTTGAACAGCAACAGCCTGCAATACGATTCCGATAACATTGACTCGGCCGGCCGCAAGTACATGTCCATGACCATGTCGGTGTTGTTGTGCAAGTTCAGCTCGAACAGTCCATGCCTAACACTCCCGGTGCGGACGTGGACCAGCAGAATCATCAAGATGAAGGTTGACGATATCCAGGGTTCCATTCTGAATAAAAAAGGCTGAAAAAAAAGAATTTTTTTTGTGTCTTTTTAATACAAAAATATAAAAAAGGACGAGAATCGAACCTTTTAGGAGGCAAGGCCTACTAATCAACGTATCTGTACACTCTCAGGTATCTATGCATGTGTTTGACAGCAATTAAGAGCTTTACTTTATGTTTAGTAATTGCGGTAAATTGTAACTTTCAATTAGAGAATGTAATTAAACAGCCGCCAGCTTAACTTCACATTGATTTACCTACACACATATATGGGAGCATGGGCAACGTCATTTTATAGTTTTATAGTTATCCCAGCATCCAATTCCACGAATTTGTGACTTTGAAACGAGCGCAAGGGCGTAATAAAGGGGGTTGCTTCAGCAGGTGGTGTAGGGCCTCACCACGTCCGGGCAATAATTCCACATGATTTTAATTAAAAGCGAGCAGCAGAAGCTTTCAATTTGGTTACCCCAGAGATACATATACATACATATATGCGAATGTATGTCTGTCACCCATTTCGGCTAACATTTACAGCTATAAGCGCTGTTTCTATTTGGAAAAGAGAGAAAAATCTGCAAATGTTATTTGTGGCCCGGCCAACACGAGGCGCCAGCCTAATGCGATTTACACTCAATGCAATAAAAGACACTGAGTGAAAATGGAATTCAATTCCGTGGAACGAGCTTGAATAGAGAGTATATTTTGTGCATGGCATTCATATTATTATTATTTCTGATAATATGTATATAGTAATATGAATAAATTCTCGAGAATGCTCGACTACGGGAACCACTGAATTTATTATAATAATATTTATATTAGTGTATATAAGTTATTTAGCATCATATCATCATTTAGTCTTATCACGCAAATATATATTCTTGAGCAGCGTAATGAAAGTATTTGTTTGTATACATATGTATGTATTATGTTCGTATGTATTTGTGTACATCTGTCTCGTTGTCGATCTTACAGTCTGTCTCTCCATCTATCTCTTCGTCTACTTCACTGTCTATCCGCCTGGGGATGAAGAAGAACGTCAAGAGATCCTTAAGTTGTCTATATGTATGTATGCAGCATACATTTGGTATTTATAGTTCAGTAAAGCGAAGCTCGAATGCTTGAAGCAACTGAGAGTGTTCCCATTGCTCATTTACAGCTCGACTGCAACGATGTCTACCTGGCACCGGGCTAAGCATTTGAGAGCGCCTTGAGCTTTGAGAGAAAGTCGCCCTATATAAAGGGCAGCAGCTGCATCATTTCTTCAGTCGGAGGTGAGGATCAGTCGTGAAGAAAAGTGAAGTGAAGTGAAGTGTGTGATCAGCTGAGCATTATCAAGGTAAATACATACTTATTTTTACACATACTGGGAAGAAATACTTACATAGAAGTAGTACTTGGAAGAAATGAAGGCATTGCTCAGAGGCAATATTAAGTGGCAATACTTAGCGGCAATACTTAGCGGCAATACTTAGAAGAAATACTAAGAAGTAACATTTAATGGAATAGTTATAGGAAATACCTCAATGAAATGTGTATATACAATGGCAATAGTCATATATTATTTAAAATAAACTTGATCAGTTTGTACAACAGACAGGTCTATAATAAATTTCTGTACTCTCCAGTTAAAGTAGGCTCATCTGCCACGCCTCCTGATGCCTCTTTCTATACATTTCGACATAACCATTACGCCCAAAGTTTCCATATCAATGGCTCAGCCTATAATAGAGTAGCTGCTAGACAGATGTGTATGTAATAGAAGTTGAATAAATCAACGCTGCACGGCTTGACCTCATTTCTTTGTCTACAATTAAAGTCATAACCTTCGATATATAACATAAAATCTGAGTGGAGCAGCAACAGGAGCAGGAGCAGGAGCAGCCGCAGCCGCAGCAGCCGCAGACAGAGTCGCACACACACACATACATCGCTCGCACACCCAGCTAATGATTGTTAACTCAAACACACGACACGAAATGATGCGCCCGGTTAATGTGTTTGCCGAAGGGCCCTAATGTATATCCATCTTTATGATTGATGTGCGCCCGCATGAAATTTATATCATGTGGTTCAGCTGTGTGTGAATGGAAAATTATCTTCGCTTCATTGGCTGACCTTTCTGGCTAACCTTCGGCGCCGATTCTGCCAAGAGTCGCCACGTTATTTATTGACATAATGGCTTGTGATTAATTCTGATAATTGACTTTCTCTATTGACTTTCTCCATTGAATTTACTGCCAATTGATGGCCGACTCCAGCAGCATAATTTACATTGATATCGGCAAATGCAATTAACTGAATATGGTTCATAGACTGATGCTTGCCAAAAATCAAAATTATCTAATAATGGCGCAAAGTATTTCATCATGCGAACCATTTTCCAATATTAAATTGCATTTTATGCCTGCTGCGTCGAATTAATTAGAGAATTTGCATCGGAAGTGGTGAGATTGCAATTGTAGCCTGATTCATTAGACCTCATTTAAATAATCAATAGTATTAAATATAGTTGGTATATGTATATACATATTTAAGTTAGCCCTTCGTTTAAATGGCCTCGTTAGTTGAATTCTCTCAAGCAATTAACGTCGATTGCAATTTAAGCAAAGTTTTTTATTACAGCTCGTGCAGCAAAAACCAATAAATTTACATTTACAGAGAATGGGAAAAAAGCATTTTAACATTTAATTAATTCAATTGCAGCGCGTCGATGCGAAGTGCAACGCGAATCCTTGCCACAAGACTCTGTATAATTTGCTCTCCTTTGAATTGGATTTCTTCGGTAATTTATCAGAGCTTCTTCTGAGCTGCTCGGCGGTTGTCTTCGCATTCAATTAAATTAAAAAGGTGTGAAATATTTAAATAATATATTCAGTTCATTTATTTGCAAGGCACCAGAGCATCAATACGCATATAAATAATTAAAGAAAAATATATTTTCTTTTGAATTTTATTTAATTTTGTTTTTTAGAATCAAATATAAAGAGCAAAATTGTACGTCTTAAATATGTAGTCTTAAATTGTATGAATGCAACCTTTGTTATATTTTATTGTTTAATATTTGTATCGTATTTCTTTAGCTTCAAAGATTGCGTGATCAAATTTGCTTTGAGAGATGATGTGCGCTAAGGCATTTCCGGGCACAGGAAGTTTGGCTGCCAGCCTAACACGGCTTCCATTTAATTCAGAACACAAATATGTTAATGGTAACTCATGATAGTTCTGGGCGGAAATGGAATGCCTAATGAGCCCCTGAACATACTGTACACATATATATGTAATAAGTATTTTCTAACAGAGAATTGCAAAGGTTTCTTCACGAGCACACGTATAACTATTATATTTATTTTATTTATTTTATATTTATATTTATTTTATTTCTATTATATAATTTTTTAATTTTAAAAATTTCTTACGAAAGCCAACAGCTGCATTTATTATTAATAAATTATATAAATTAAGCTTCGGCTAGCCGAAAAACTTCACTAAAATAATTCAAGGCATGCAAAGCGCTTACACCTCACGCTATCTATATGCAGAAACCTTGCCTAACAGCCTTTTCAATGGCAACTCGCAAGAACATTAAAGGATGCAACACAAGGGTTGGGGCTGAGCATGTCTTTGGGAAAAGGCAAAACTTTAGAGCCACAGCTGTTGACATTTGTTTGATAGTTTTTTGATGACAAATTTTCAGGGCAGTTGTAAAATTATGCAAATGCCAACAGGAAATGGCATTAACAGCAGGCGACTTGAATGTCTTAGAATCTCAAACGACTTAATAAAGTGAGGAATATGACAAGAAGATGCAATTGTTAATACTCTAACTCGGGAGATTGAAAATTACAATGGGCTTTACCCTAACTAAAAGAGCTCACAAATAGTTTTTAGCTTCTCTAAAGTGAAACTCCATGATTTGAATATACTATATCAGTGCTCTGGTAAGGCGTATAGTCCAATTAATTAGCCCTGTCATCGTCTATATACATTTATACCTCACCGAAATGATTATGTTATGCCTGTGAGAATGGAGGATACCACAAAATACGGCAGTTGGTGCGGGGCCAAATTATCAGACCATTTGTCAGTCGGTCGCAAGAGGTGAGAAATAAATTACGCGACACTTTAGTCAAGCTATGCGAGCTGGCACTTCTGTGTTGAAGTTTGTGCTGCAAGCAGGCGACATTATTCATACAGGCTGTCAGGGCAGGAATTGCCTGCTTTCACACAATGTCACGCACCCGCAGTAAGATGTCTGTCCGGGCACGTGCTGTTTGTTGTTTCTCTATTTGTTTGTTTGTTCGCTTGTTTTGCTGATGCCCGTAATTTGTCAGCTCATTATTAGCTGCGGTTGGGGCTTGACTGATGACATTTGCGGTGCTAATTGAAAATGCGTTTTAAATCCCGTCTTTGGTTAAATTTGATCAATTACAGTAATTGTGCCACGTTGGTTGCCTGACTGAAACCTAAACTGAAGTCAACTTTAAGTATAAGAAAAAGGCTTTATGTTCCTGTGCACACATGGCGTATGCGTTACGTCGAGTAAACAGTGTTTCTCTTACCACTTTTGTCTAGTTTATGGCCAAGTTGTATAAGGGCCAGTTGCAAAGTTTCGCCTCGAATTTAAAACAATTTGTTGTCACAAAGGAATCGCTTAACTTTGCACAAACTTTCAACTGACTTCGGCTCGGTTTCCATGACAAAGTTAGGCTTATCAAACAGACGCTGGGGAGCAACATTAACTTGAGTTCGTATTAAATTTAAGTTATGCCATTGAGCGGATGCGCTCTACATCGATAAGGCATTTACTTTATATGGTGAGCGCTCGTTTGGATCACGAATTATGGAATTCCATATCATGAACAGAAGTGCCTCTGTCTATAGCTGTAAGCTGCCACGCCCAACTCTGTCTGACCTTCAATTATTGTTTTTCTTTTATTTTCGAGCTTGACCCTACTCTCTTCTGCTCAACTGTCATGTTTGCATATTGCCTTTGCATATGTCTTTATTAAATTACTTGCAATCGATCAAA